CGAGGTTGGGAGATTCATCAGTTGGATGTTAATAATGCATTTTTAGATGGTGATATTATTGAGGAGCTGTATATGCGAATGCCTCCTAGATTTTCTATCCCCAGCAAAGTTTGTCGTCTTCGGAAATCTTTATATGAGCTTCGTCAATCTCCACGTAATTGGTTCCATAAACTTAGCACTGCACTTCGTCACTGGGGGTTTAAACAGGCTCATAAGGATCATACTCTGTTTATTCTTCATCAGGGCCTCGATATTCTTACAGTCCTAGTTTATGTTGATGATATTTTGGTTGCAGGCAATAACCATCTTTATGCACTTCTTTTAAATGATATTTGGACAGGTGTTTTCAACTTAAAGATTTGGGCCCGGTCAAATACTTTTTGGGGATTGAATGTGCCCGTTCTGCATCGGGTATGGTATTGTGTCAACGAAAATATGCACTGGAGATTTTACAGGAGGCTGGTCTTTTGGGTTGTAAACCGGCCGACACGCCATTACCCACGACACACACTGGGCACGTCGACCACGGTTGTCCTACACGACCCGGCGCGGTACCGTCGTCTCGTGTATAGATCACCATCACTCGGCCAGATATTTGTTACTCTGTCCATGTCTTATCTCAGTTTATGTAGGATCCTACTCTGGATCACATGAATGCAGCCATGCGTGTTCTTCGCTACATCAAAGGTCATCCGGGTCAGGGCATTTTTCTCAGCGCTAACAGCAATTTACAAATCTTTGCTTATTGTGATTCTGATTGGGCCAGTTGCCCCAGGTCCCGTCGGTCTGTTAGCGGGTATTTTATCATGTTAGGGACTTCTCCGGTATATTGGAAGACGAAGAAGCAAACCACTGTTGCTAGATCGTCTGCAGAGGCGGAGTACAGAGCTATGGCAAATGCTTGTGTGGAAGTCCGTTGGATGCGAGGAATTCTTCTTGCCTTGGGAGTTCCTATTTTATATCCTCCCCGATTATATTGTGACAATCAATCCACTTTGTATATTGCAGCTAATCCTGTTTTTCATGAACGAATGAAGCATGTGGATGTTGATTGTCACACAGTTCGAGAAAGTGTACAGCGACGTGAGGTGTCGACACGATATGTTCCTACTCGATACCAGTTGGCCGATATTTTCACTAAGCCGTTGGGCAAACCTAGTTTTGATTTTTATTGTGCAAGTTGGGCATTCAGGATCTTCATGCGTCAACTTGAGGGGGAGTGTTAGCGGGTATTTGTATTTGGTTTGTATTTAGTTTGTTTTGGGCCTAGACCTGCCAAAAAATGACCCGACCTGTTTTTAACCTGAAACCCGACCCTAAAATACTGGGTTTTGAACAAAGGTTTTGCTGACCGAACCCGAAGTTGACCGGACCCGAAATGACCCGCTAAAAATGGGTTGAACCCGACCTGACCAACCCGCTAATCTAAGATTTTTTCAAAATCATACATTTTAATATGAAATATAGTGTTATAAAAATAAGATTATGATTTTATTTCTTTGCTTACAACTCATTCTTTGTGTATAGATTTATAACATCATAACAAATTTTAATGATGTCGCATACTTATCTTACATTTTTTCAAAATTTCTACATATTTAATTTTTTTATTCGTAATATTGACACTAAGTCATAAAACTTACTTAAAATTTCAAAAAAATAAATGAAACTCATAACCCGTTGGGTCAACCCGAACCCGATGACACTGGGTCATGAACATGTAATTATCAACCCGAACCCGATCTTAACCGAACTCGAAGTAACCCAAACCTAAGGTGATCGAACCCGAACCCGACCTGACCGACCGATTTGTCAGGTCTAATTGGGCCCACGTGTAACCTAGCCCGTTATGTAAACTTGTATATATACGGTTTGTGTTAATCAATCAAAGCAGATCAGTTTTCATCATTTTCTACAATACCGTTTGACTATGAGCCTATTTGGAAATAACGTTAGAAATTAACGTAAGCATTTTGAAAAAGATATCTACAAGCAGCGTTTAGCGATAGCGTTTTCAAAGTAATCTGCATCGTTAAAATTTTATCCAAAATGCTGACGCTAATCTCCAACGTTATTTCCAACGTTATTTCTAAATAGATCCTATGTTATTTTGATACCGTTTCCAAACTCTTTTCATCAATTATTAGAATGTTTGACTAAGATTTCTTTTTGTAATTTTATATTGATTAAAAAGATTGGGAGCGCTTCCCATGAAGCTTGATATTGTCTCCGGACTTTCCAATTTCTAAATCCGCCTATTTGGGAATAACGTTAGAAATTAAAAGGATCTACTGAAGTTGATAATTGAAACCGTAATTTATGAGGCAGCTTAAAGATAAAAATAGAAATTTATTTAAATAACACTAAAACACTAAAACATAATGACTTTTTCTAAATAGCACTACATGTGTTTTTCTTCCCAATGTAGCACTTTTAGTCATTATGCATGAGTCATTATTCAAGTAAATATTTGCCATCACTAGACATTATGACATTATTAAGTGCAATTTAGGGAATAAAACAGATTAAGTTCTATTGAGAAATGACTTAAGGTTTAGTGCTATTTAATGCAAATATTTCAGATAAAAATATGTCACGCATTATTCCTCCTTCTAGACATTATTAAGTGCTGTTTAGAGAATAAAACCGTTTAAGTGCTATTTAGAGAAATGACTTAATTTTTAATGCTAGTTAGCACAAATATTTCTTAATAATATCCTAATTATTTATCTAACGAAGGGTATACAAAGATTTTATCGTACTTTGTAGAACAATTGTGTAACAAACACCAACACAAATACGGATTATTAAATGTCTGCAAGTAATTAGGCAAATATAGTGAATGGGATGAGACGTACTGATATAGTGATATATAGATAGAGAAGAAAGAGAGATGATTAAAACTTTCTATTTCTTGGCCCAGTAGGGAAAGTTGTTCAATCCTCCTAGGGATGGAGAACATGCCTCTTTTTTGCATGGTGATAAATACTACGTACTATAGCCTCTGGTACACATATTTAATTATTTGGTCCTTGCTTCCACTTGTCTCCATACAATCATTCACCCCAATAAGAGTAAAACTTTTACAGGGAGATTTTGAAAAATAAATATTGGATGGTTAAAATTATTTATTCACAAAGTTTCCAGACAAGCACATTACGACATATTTGTTCAACCTTTTTTTTTTTTATCTCTTTTTAAAAACACAATAATCAAAATTAAACTCTCATCGGCATGCATATATACCCGGCAAACATCGGGTTTCCTTATCTAGTCCTTTATTATCAAATATTACTCCGTTAGTCTTTCTTTTATATGTATCTTTCCACAAATAGTCATTTTATATCTTCTATCATGTTGATGTCAATTTGAGAGCTAAAAATGTAAGTTGACAATGATAATATATCTGTTTTGTCATACACAATTCCAAAGGACATGCATCGTTTGTAAATTACAGTCGTTTTCTACCAAAGTCTGCAAATGTGGTCTTTCGTCGGAATCCTATCCCACAATCAAAGTCATTATTTTTTATGTTATCCGCGAAACAAGTATCAAAATACATCACTAGACATAGGCTTGACGTAAAATTATACGTTTAGCCTTTAAATTAAGTGAAATTTGCACTAAATAGAATTAAAACATAATGACTTTCCTAATGTAGGACTTAGACTTTTTTATTCCCTAATTAGGACTTAATAATGATCTAGTGGGAGGAATAATGTCCAGTAATGATGGACATTTAGTTGAATAATGACTACGTGATAATGACCAAAAGTCGTTATGTTTTAGTCCTATTTAGATAAATTTCTCTCAAATTAATACCAACATATCAAAATATAAAAAAAGAACATTTGTGGAATAACACCCATAAAAGAAGGACTACGGGAGTAATATTTGTTAATAGAGGACTAAATATAAAAACTACCTTGTTATAAAAGACCAATTATGAAATTACTCTAACAAGATTATAATTATATTCCTTTGCTTACTACGGAGTAGTTTTTTTGTGTATAAATTTATATTTTCATACAAAATTTTAATGATATTACTTAACTATCTTACATTTTTTTCAAAATTTTTACATGTTTAATTTTTTTATTCGCATAATAATAATAATACTCCATTCGTCCCAAAATATTTGTCACATTTGCTTTTTCAGCAGTCGCAGGAACTTTTGTTTATTTCTACGTTTTCATTTGTTATTTGATAAAATAAAATATTCTTGACACCTCTTATTTCGAAGAAGTTTTCATGTAATTTTTTGATATGTAAATTTTATTATTTATTTCTATACCAATATGTAAATAAAATGAATTAAAAAACTTGATATTTTATCTCGTGAATACAAGTGTGACAAATATTTAGGGACGGAGATAATAAGAACTCCGTACTCCGTAGTACATTAATAAAAGGACAAAGCTACTTGTACCCCAATTTTTTTGTACCCTACTTTGTACCCCGTAGGTTTGTACCAACATTTTGTGTTGGTGTAAAACTAATTTTTGTTAACGCACCAACATTTTGTGTCCAAGTAATTTTTTGTTAACGCACCGTACCAATATTTGTGTCGGTGTAAACTATCAAAATGTTTGAGTATAACTGTGGTGTACAAATGAGATACAACTTATGGTGTAAATGTAGATGGTCCTTAATAAAATGGCCCATACCCACCTTTATATGTGGGGGATCCAACAGGGATAATAAGTACTCCGTACAACAATTCAAGATCAGTTACAACATGCCAATGGCCCATACCCACCATGTACATATCCCCCAGCCTACAAGGCTTGCTTTGCTAGTTCTCTTCCGATCCACAATCAAGCAATTCGCGCAGTACACTATGGCAACAGAAAACACCACACATCTCTCTCTCTCTCTCTCCTTAAAATAATTCTCTCTGTTGTGTTGTTGTTGCTCCTCCAACACACAAACAATGTCTCTTCTGTCCTCCGTATCCTTCCCGGTGCTGTATCCCAAGGCGCCGTTTGCCTTGACGGCAGCCCTGCCGCCTATGATTGGGACGCCGGAAAAGGCCAAGCAGGGGCGACCAATTGGCTTGTTTTCCTCCAAGGATCCGGCTGGTGCTTGAACACCACCGCCCATAGTTCCGTCCAAAGCTGTGCGGAACGGGCAAACACATGCAGACATTGGCTCTTCCCACCGCGCATGCATCCTTTGAATTTCTCCCAGCTTCATGTTCTTTCCCCTCACTCCAGTGACACACATTTTTACGACTGGAACCGTGTGGTGGTGAGGTCTTGTGACGGCGGATCATACTCCGGCGACGCCGACAAGCCCGATCCTGTCACTGGCCTTCACTACAGGGGCGCGAGGGTATTCCGCGCTGTCGTGGAGGACTTAATGGCGAGGGGGTTGAAAAACGCCCGTAATGTCCTCCTGGCCGGTGGTTCGTCAGGCGGGCTCGGGGTCATGGTGCACTGTGACCGATTCCGGCGCCTCTTCTTGGGGAACACGAGGGTTAAGTGCTACGCCGATAGCTCTCTCTTCCTTCGCGTCAGAGACCCCCGCCGCGCGAAGTTTTTCAACGACGTCCTTGGCAACGTTGTGGGTGTGCAACGTCTGGACAACGTGTTGCCCGGACGGTGCACTTCGAGGCTAGGCGCGACGGTGTGTTTCTTCCCTCGAAACCTGGTGCGGTATATCGAATCGCCGTTCTTCATTTTGAACTCGGCGTTCGACTCGTACCAGGTTAGGAACACGTTTTCGGAGGCCTTGCACGACAATGTCATGCACCACAACGTTAGCCGGAGCGACATGGCACTCCTCCGAGACTTCCGGGGCCAAACAATCGGAGCCCTGCCACCGCCAAGTGGCACGAAGGGGTACCTAATAACATCCCTCTTCATGCACAGTCTCGGTACGGTGCAAGGCTTCAAAAGGCCAATGTTCTGGGCAAAAGTCAAAGTCTTTTGAGAGTGTGTTGGTCGATTGGTTTTTCGATCGAGCCACCAATGTCCATCTCATAGACCCCGCGAAACAGCCCTTTTATTGAACGCCCCATGGAGTTGAGGAGATGACATCAACTTAAATAAATGAGTTTAATTAGTTGATGTGAATAATGTGTAATTAGCAATGTGTCGTTAACTACTTAATGAATACTCCGTGTTATTTAGCTGCGGGCTGTGTTCTTATTAATTAATTAATCTACTCTTTCCTTAAGAATTATTGTATGATTAAGTTTTTGTTCCCAAACACGTCATGGGGCTCTATATCTAATCTCTCTTGTGGGATTCATTGATACGTTCCTTGTCCTTCATTCTAATCAATAGTAAAAATTTAAACAATGACCATTAATTTTCTCTATAAAAAAGTACTTTTAAACAATGACCATTAATTTTCTCTAAAAAAAGTACTTATTGTTTTATTGAAGTCTGTATAAATTTACTCCTAAGAGCACATGGAAAAGTCTGACGTAAAAAAAAAGATATCTTGATTTTCTTATTACAGTCAATTAATTACTCTTTCTGTTCTAGTTGTCTACTTCTGACTTTTTTCGATCAAAATTAAAAAAATTTGATTCTAAATTAAATAAAAATGATGCTCTGAAGTATTAGATATTGATACAAAAATAGTTTTATTATATCAAATATGTTTAAAATATTAATTTATCTAATCAATATATAATATATATTTTATGTAATTATAGATAAAAAATTAAAAATGACAGGTTGAAAAAACTCAAGGACAAATAATTACCATTTCTTTCTTTGGAAAATGCTAGGGTGCTACCATGGGTGCACCCATGCTTCGCACAGACAAACACAGACGATAATTGTCTGTGTCGCACAGACAATTATCGTCTGTGTTTGTCTGTGCGAAGCATGGGTGCACCCATGATAGCATCCATGTGGTGGCACCCTAGCATGGTCCTTCTTTCTTTGAAAATGCTAGGGTGCTACCACATGGGTGCTACCATGGGTGCACTCATGCTTCGCACAGACAAACACAGACGATAATTGTCTGTGTCGCACATTGTCTGTGTCGCACAGACAATTATCGCCTGTGTTTATCTGTGCGAAGCATGGGTGCACCCATGATAGCATCAATGTGATGGCACCCTAGCATTGTTCTTCTTTCTTTTAGGTTTTACCCAACTTACACATTAATGACTTAGCCCAAAATAGATAGGGACACAGGAAGGGAGCAGAAAAAGGTGACAAGGGGAGAAAATAGTCCCATTTAGCAAAGAGGTGTCTAAATCCATATTGGGGCTTATAGACCTGGCAAAAAGTGATCCGACCTGTTTTTGATCCAAAACCTGACCTGAAAACACTGGGTTTTGAACAAAGGTTTTGATGACCGAACCTGAAGTTGACCAAACCTGAAATGACCCGCTAAAAATGGGTCAAACCCGACCGAACCCGACCGACCCGCTAAAGTAAGAATTTTTCAAAATTATACACTTTTTTTTACTTGTTTTTATTGTATAAATTTATATTTTCAGACAAAATTTTAATGATATTGCATAATTATCTTACTTTTTTTCCAAAACTTAAATATTTTTAAATTCTTTATATTGAGTTATATATCTAAAAACTACTTTAGAGTTTAAAATAATATAATTTTATATATTTAGTACTTTTTTTATATTTTAAATTTATTTATTAGAAAATGTAAGTGTTAATGTGAATTTAAAAATTTAAAAGACCTAAGTCATAACCCGTTGGGTTGACCCGAACCCAATGACACTGGGTCATGAACATACACTTCTCAACCCGAACCCGAATTAACTCGAACCCGAAAAAGTTCGAACTTTAAGTGACCGAACCCGAAGCCGACCTGACTGACCGATTTGCCAGCTCTAAGGGCTTTTAATTACTTGCCCGGCTGCCAATGCATTAATTTCTCCATCTTGCTTCATCAACTTTTTCCTCTTTCAATCATTTCATTATTGTCCTCCCAAAAGAAAGAAAGAAAAAATCCTATCGTTTCCTTGTAGGCTTTGGCTCCGTTCCGTTCAACTTATTTTTTCTGATCTGATCTGATTCTAATAAGTTCTGATCTGATCTGGTCTGATCTGATCTGATTTGATTGGATCTGATCTGATCTGATCTGATTGGATCTGATCTGATTTGATTTGATCTGGTCTGATCTGATTAATTATGATTTAATTTAAAATTTTAAATCAATAATTTAATTTGACTTTATAATAACGTTTGAAAATTGTAATGATAATTAATATTATAATATAATCAATATTTTTTATTTAATGATTATTTTTTAATAAAATAAAAATAGTTAATTCATATATTAGAATAATCATTCATATTATAATGTAATAATATTTTTTATTTTATGATACTTTTTTTGTAAAATTAGAATTATACATTAGAATAAATATTTAATTTAGATATACATTTAAAAGTAATTAAATTTAGATAATCAATATATAGAAGAGATAGTATTTTTATTAAAATATCTCATCCTTATAAAAGATCAAAAGTTTAGAAACTCAAATTACAAGTAGCAATAAAAATATATTTTAAAAGTAGAATTTGATTGACATTGTCAATGTATTTTAAAACTAATTTTTCCGACGTCTAATAATTAAGGATTACTTTCTTAGCTTTTTATTTAACCTATTTCTAAAGTTTATTCTTTTTCATTTTTAAGAATAATAATAATAATAATGATGATGATGACGACGATGATGATGATGATCATAATAATAATAATAATAATAATATAATAATAATAATAATAATAATAATATAATAATAATAATAATAATAATAATTCTTGAAGAGATCTTATTTTAATAAGTCCTGATCTGATCTGATCTGATTGGATCAGATCTGATCTGATTGGATCTGATCTGATCTGATTCGATCTGATCTGATCTGGTCTGATCTGATTCGATCTTATCTGATCTGGTCTGATCTGATCTGATTTTAATAAGAATAAGAAAAAATAAGAAAAAATAAGTTGAACGGAACGAGGCCTTTACCCTTGTTTGGATGCATTTTTAAGAAGGAAAGAAAATAAATATGTAAAATGTGGAAGAATAAAACGGGTACGTCCATTTTTTCTTTCTTTCTTATTTGCTTAGTGTGACTTCTCTCTATTCGTTTCCATTTTAGTGTATGTTGGGTAAATAAAAAAATATTTCATTGTTAAAAAAAAATGATGTCACAGTTCACTGTTAAATAATTTTATGGTAAATTTGGAAACATAGATTTGGATTTCAAATTTGTATTTGGCTCAAATTTCACGTTTGAAAACTTAAGAATTTTAAATTTTGGACTTGACTCAAATTATTATCATTTAAAACAAAGTGTTGGAGTTCCCACATCAGAAAATAAAGATGAGTATCACTTGCATATATTGAAGGGTGAAGCCCTACCTATCAGCTTAAGCTTTTGGGTTAGAATTGTGGATCTCGACTTTATGTGCAAGTGATTAATTTTACCCGACTCTCTATCCGTTGTTCTCTGCCCGCCGGAATTTTAACATGGTATCGGAGCAGGTCCGGTCCGGGTTTGATTGTTCCTGGTTGTTTGAATGTGGGTTTAGCAAAAATGAGCTACCCCTATGTGGTTTGGGCTGAGTTGGCTAAAAAGAGATTGAGATGTCATCGCCAGCTGTGTGGGCTAGCTATAAGAGATTGAGATGCTAGACCCGTTTGTCCAAGTGCTAACTAGGCCAGGCTAGTTACCACTTACGGGGGAGTGTTGGAGTTCCCACATCGGAAAATAAAGATGAGTATCACTTGCATATATTGAAGGGTGAAGCCCTACCTATCAGCTTAAGCTTTTGGGTTAGAATTGTGGATCCCGACTTTATGTGCAAGTGATTAATTTTACCCGACTCTCTATCCGTTGTTCTCGGCCCGCCGGAATTTTAACACAAAGCTTGATTAGAAATCCATCCACCTTCCCTTGTCATTTGAAATTCAGAATTTCAAATTTTGGAATTGAAATGCATGAATTGAAATGAATTGTTAGTTCCCAAACATTACCTTCAGAATTTTTGTTTATTTTTATATTTTCATCAATTATTTAATTATGTACGGAGTAAATTTTTCTTGTCACCTTGTATTTTAAAGAATCTTTTATATACTTCCTTCGTCCCTAAAAATGTTTCTTGTATTGACTTTTACATGATTTAAATGGAGTATATATATGTTGGTGTTGACTTTCAAAAAAATCATTTGATATGATGAATAAAAATTATGATGTAGTGAAGATTAATTGTTAATCGATATGATATATTAGATAGGATAAGAATAGGCAGGGATAAAAGTGGATTTTTAATACAAAATAGAAATATTATTTGGAAGGGGTAAAAAATGAAAGGAAAATTTTTATAGACGGAGGGAATAGTTCTTTAAATATGAAACTAATTTTTATTTTTGCATTAACATGTGAAAAAGTAAATTGAAAAAATTACCCCAGTAAAATTTCCCCTAAAATTTTTATAGACGGAGGGAATAGTTCTTTGACCATAAAATACTTTTTTTATAATTGCAAATACTTTTTTTACAATCCGTAGTAAAAAAGTGTCATTGTTTACCTAAAAAGTTAAAACGAGAAGAGTTTTCATGGACGGAGGGAGTATTTCTTACCAATAAAATTTAAAAATAAGTTTATAGTAGACACATAGAATAAAATTTTAGAGAAATATTATAAATTTAGAATGTATTTTAAACTGCGTGAACGGAAGCATTAGTCACAATTATATTTGAATCTACATATTTATTTAGCTCCCTGAAGATTACCATAATACTCGTAGCATTTATGGAGTAGTATTTAATTATGGTAGAGCGTACATAAAAGTCACCATTGCTAGCAAAGTTTAAGGGCAGAAATCGCCCTCTATACCACATGGACAATCGAGAGACGTAGTACTACAACTAGTTTTTATTATATCATCACAAAATGTGCTACACTTTTGTATCAAAATAATATCATCACCACCAAATAGTGTCGAATCTACTTCGTGGCATAATCCATAACACCGACAGTAAGGTTTTGCGTTGCATTCACTTGATACTCCACGTAACAATATTAATTTGAGAACTAGCATTGTGAGCAATAACTTCATCGTGGTCTCATTGTAAGAAATCATAAGTTGCATGCTCTCAAAGACATAATTATGATTCTTTTTTAAT